TGAGATTCCAAGGACATAATAATTTCATCAGATCTGACAACAGAAATTGTAAGAACATTTCTGGCTTCACAGAGACATTAAAATGTGAACAATCCTCAGGATGATAAGATGTGGTATTTTGATACAATCACACACGCACATACACACACACACACACACACACACACACACAGAGAGAAATGGTTAATCTTTAAGCTTTACTCTCCTTTTCCTGCTCCTTCCCTGTCCTTTTCCCCTTACTAATCTATTTTTTAATTTACCTACTTTCTCAAATTAGATGTGTCATTTCCTTTCTCTTTCAACATCAAGTAACACCAGTGAAACAAAAGAATATGGAATATGTTCATTTGTTTTTCCCTGTGTGGCTATATGCCTGTTAGAACTTGGAAAGCCATATTCGATTTTGTTTCTTCTCTGTGTCGCCTCCGCCCTCCATCCTCCCCCAATCCGTATTTCCTATGGATTGAAACTGGAGCTCTTCTTAGCTGCCCACAGCCTGAGGTAAGGCGTGGTGTGTGCCTGGCCGGTGGGACCTGGGAGCTCATCTGGTCCTGGACAGCTGAGGAGTCTGATGATGTCCAGGGCTCAGCGGCGGCCCTTCCTGTGTTCATGCCCCTTATGGGATTTGAGGGGCTCTTACCCTAAAACCAGGTTGTTCTAGGGACATAGCATGGACCTGTTGGAAAATGATTTCAAGTGGTTCAGAACATTTGTTGTAAATTTACGCCTGTATCCGTGGTTCCCAAACCATCCCCTGGAGGGCTCGTGAAAACCCCGATTGCTGGGCCCCACCCCACAGCTGCTGATTCAGTGGGTCTGGGGCAGGAACGTATTCCAGGAAGCACACTGAGAACCATGTTTTTTTATCCAACGGCACTGATCTCCATGGGTAACTTAGTTCAGCACTCTAACACGAGAATGCTGAGTTTCTGAAGGGCGCCACTAGACCAGCCCTGTTCTATGGAAACACGATGTGAGCCAAATATGGAAGACTAAAATTTCTAGGAGCCACAGTAAAAAAGTCAAAATAAAAGGGGAAATTAATTCAAGTTGTATATTTTAACACAATCTATCCCAAATAGCATTTTAACACGCCATCTGCATAAAAATCACTGATGAGAATTCTTACGTTCTAATTTTCGTCCTGTGTCTGACTCATAGCGCATCTCAGCGCAAACTGGCTGCATTTCAAACAGAGGGTTGGCAGCTGCTGTGCTGGGCAGTGTAGTTCTAGGATTTTCTCTCCTTGGAAACTCCCGCTTTCTTTTCTTAAAATGTGTTATTTCTAGACACTTGTAGGAAATTTTGTATATATTTCCTCAGTGTCTTTAATGGTGGAGAGCACTGTCCCTGTGGTCAAATACTCCGTATCTGTAGTTCTTGAGTAAGTTCCAATGCTTGTGGCTCATCAGTAACGATCCTAAAGTGATGATGGGAAGACAGTGGCAGAGACCAGGGTTGGGGACTGGAAGAAGAGGAAAGTTTACATCAATGTTACTAAGAATAGGATGTTCTCTTGTCTAAGCTCTTCCTCAAAAAAAAAAAAAAACCAAACAGATCAGATTAAGGAGTAAGTGATAGAATGAGGGTTGGTTTATAGACAAGAGGTCAGTAAGAAAGAGAAAATGATGATCCTTTAGAAAGAAAGTTAGACAAATAGGGTAGAAGAAAATGAAACAAACAAAAACAACAAAGCTGCAGTATATAAAAGGTGGATATATGTATATACTCGTACATATTTATAAAATCTCACTCTATATACATATACGTGGACTATTTAAGTACAGTTTGCTTTTGACTCTTTTATTTGATTGTCACCGTAGGAATGATATTACTCTAGTTCATGTATCATCATTGACTGATGATAAAAGAAAATAAGATGAGAACACCACCTTGTATGTGTTATTTTTCTGTTTTAACATGATGACACAACACATGAGATGTAAGTCAAAATACGTCAATTAGAGGATGTGCATAAGAACTTGGGTACTCCTAAAAATAATGAGTACCAAACCTCAAACCCTGGACATTAGCCCTTGAAATGCACCCATAAAGAAAGCAGTTTTAAAAGCTCAACTTTGAGTGAATAACCTGGTTCATGAGTCAGTGAAGGTTGGACTAAATGTCTTACTTAGTTCAAATGGAGTGCAACCCGGGTTCAGAGAACAGTGGCTATTCAACTCTGCTACCTTCAGAAGATGAGGATTTATCTCTGAAGTATTGGATCTTTGTTCTGTCTCGTTTAAATTGGTTAAAAACAAATGCCATGTTTAAGGAGAGTAGCATTAAAAATCATCAAAATCATACATTCTGATACATGTGATAATGATGGTCTCTGTACTGCCCTGACATTTGAATTTTGTTGAAGACTTTTATCCTGAGATTGTATGCTGTTCATTTCTCACCACCTCTCATTTTAGTGTGGGATAACACAGTGTGCACTTGAAACCATTTGAAGTGACTACAGGGTTTGAGGGGTGGTTATTTCAGAAAAATTGGCATTTCAGAAAGATGCGTTTTTTCCCCTCGATCTCTGTTGATGTTTGAAGTATTCAAAGTGTTGCTATGATCAGAGGAAAACATTTCTTGTGAAATAGTTCTCTCCAAGAATGCAATGATTTGAGACTGGCTCGCTGTGGGTTCAGATCGTCCCTTCTAGAAGCTGTTTTCACCGAAGGTGCTTCAGGCTGAGGCCTGCAGCTTGAACTATTTATCTTCAGTTCAGAATATGTAAATATTAAATTAACCTAGCTTTAACATAAGCTCCCAAGTCAATAAAAACGGAGAATTTCTTAAAGCAGTCAAGTTTCTAGCCCACATTGGCCATCGGGGATCCTGTCCAAGGTGTATAGACTCTAGTTGCAGGTATTACATATGGTCACATGTAAAGTGAATGCAAAGAGAGATGACTTTCTATTTTTCCAGTCAACTGGTTTACTGTTTACGGTCAATTTTTAGCTTATAAAGTTGGAGTTAAATATTTATCCAAAATGCTAAAGGTTTCAAGAGGAGTCATGCTAGTATTTATCGAATACTTCCTATGTGCTTAGGACTCTGCTGAATGATTTTCATGCATTATCTCACTTCTAACTTCATCCTTGCAAATACTGTTATTTCGTCTCCCCTGTATACATGTGGACACTGAGGCTTGAAGAGGTGAAGTAATTTGGTCGTTTGGGTCTCAGGTGGCAGAGCCAGGATGAGAGCCAGCCTTTCGATGGAGAGCCTACTGCCTTCATCTTCATGTCCTCTTGCTTAAAAAAACATAGGGTCCTCTGGCTGCAGGTTCCTCTCCACTCCACACTTAGGGAAAACTACGCAAACATTCGTTCCACAGACAATTACAGGGGATACTCTTGCAACCTTGACTCTAGAAACTTTCCAGATGCAGCAAGTTATAGGTGCTACCCCTATTCCCACTCTAAGACCCTAGCAAGGTCTAGTGAAAACATTATGTAGATTAAATAGCTAATTGCTTATCTGATTGGCTCTTCTATATAACTACAGCATGTAGGTGTCACTTAAAAAAAACAAAAACAGGACAGTTGTAGTTGGGTCAAACTTATCCCATGTAGGGAAATCAGGTAGTATTTGGAGACATGGGAAAATAACATTAGAAGTCAGATTTCTAACCTGGGTTCTAATCTAACAAGCCATTTAGTTTTCCCCCTGTGCTATTTTCCAAATGCATGGATTGAATTAGAACCTTGTGAGATTCAACTATTTTGGAGTCTACTTAGAAAAATGCACGTGAAAAATTTTGCATGTCATTTAGGCATTTCATGGGCCCCCTAAAGTCTGTAGGAGTTTTGGGACTTCTATGAGAATCCCTGAATTAGTCGATCTCTTGCATTTTCTTTTACTTTATGAATGGGAGAATTCTATGGCTGTACTGTCTGAACCACCTTTGTAGATAGAACTCTCTGATAGATGGTGAACTTTTGGTGGATTGATGCTGATCAAATCATATTTGCTCAACATCTTGGGATATATACAGGATATAGGCCACTGATTGGACTAGAATTTCTGAAGAGGTGGCTGTAGACCTGGGAAAAAAGCAGGTGGATTTGGAATTGTCAGACCTAGTTAGTTTGGAACCTTTCTAGCCTCAGCTTCTCCTTTTGTGTAAGGAATGAAGAATGCCTATGTTATGTGACAATGTGTTATTTAAATGAAATAACAGACAGTGAGCCCTGTAGGTAAACCATCTAATAGATGGGAATAAGCCTAGCAAATGTTCTTCACACGTTTGCTTGTTGCTTAGAGACTTCTCAGAGGGTCATGTCTGGTAGGCTGCCGGTTCTTAGGAAGTACAGACCTGCAAATCAAAGAAGCTGCGGTGAGGCTGATGGGAAGGATCCCTGGGGACTGTGGGAACCTCTTCACAGGTAATGGGAAACCCCGGGACCTGGAGCGGCCACCTGAGAAAGGGAGGTGAACTTGAAAATCCATATTGCTAAGGGAGGAAGTTGGGCTCACGCTTTTGGAGAATCAGGTGTTTTTGGACCTGTGCTCTCTAAAGGGCTAGAAGAGCAGCAAGGAGAGCTTTTTGATGAAGGAAACCTCCATCTAATAAATCTAGCATCTAATCAATGTGAACATACAGTAACATCGAACTTATTAATTAAAGATATACTTGGGAAGCTTATTAGCTTAACACATTCATTCATTCACTCTTTCTTAATTATCCTACTGGCAAACGTAAAGTATTGTGAGAGAGCTGTGTATCATTTTTGCGTTAATAAACCCAGCAGGTTTCTATGGCTGTCGGGTTGACCTTGCTACCTCTACTTTTGTTGTCTTCATTTCTCTTACAAGGGTCGTGTCTAATGTCTCAGGTCTGGCCGAATTAAGTCCGTTTCCCGTTTTTTGTAGTTTCGTTTTAATATTATCCTTTTTAATTGCAGTTATTTAAGTACACTTGAAGTCATTTTTTTAAACTCCAGTCTGGTTAATATCTAGTAAATGATTAATCTATTTTTTTCTGCTTTAATTTTCAGATTGAAGAATTCCGAAGGCTGAGGACACACGTCAAGGGGGCAGAACTTGTGGAAGGCTGTGATGGGATTTTGGGAGACAATTTTAGACCCACTCAGCCACTTAGTGACAGAGTCATCAGAGCTGCATTTCAATAGCCAAAGAGAGCAGGACAAGTCCACCTTCTTTTGGGTACGTGTAGATGAAGTAAGGAAATGGGCACACAGTTAACATAAACCTATCATATGAAAGTTACTCTCATGGCGATCCTGATAATTTAGTATTATGAGTGTACTTTATTTTGGCAGAATTTATGATACATTTTCAAGCCTCACTGATTACAGGTCAGGTGGTTTTCTAAAATTACATGCAGTATTGAAAAAAATCTGCAATCCTTTTATTTTCTCATGAGACCAGCCTTTCATTCCAAATTTTGCATTAATGTTGGCTTTCCTAAGGAAAGGGACCCCGAGGCAGATAAACTGATATGCAAGTATCCCTTTAGTACTTCACTGTGTTGCACCCTTGAACCTGCAGCTGTCACTTCCTCATGACTGAGAAACAGAACGGAAGGGACTAGAGCATGTGAGCCTCAAAGCTGACCCTCATTGTCTGGTTTGTCACCTTGCTTATCGATATAGGTGAAGGCATATCTGGCATGAATGAAGATATATGTCCTATGATCTCAGTTTGGTATATTTCTTTATTAATTGAAACATAATCTATACATTTTAATATATTGAATTAAATGTACGTATTCCTTACCCTTAAGGAGCTAACAAAATAAAACATCGCAAACATGGAAAAGATAAAATATACATAAATGACTATCGACTGGATTATTTCCTTACCTTGCAAATTACCTAAGAGTGCATATATGGGTCAGTGTGTATGGCTGACAAACCACTGCTTCCCATAAGAGGGAAGTGTCTGTTGGAATGGTTCCCTAGGTAGCAGGACAGAGCTTTGACTGTTTAATGGAGCACTGGGAGTATGCGCTCACACACTGGAGTGGTACATGGGGCTGGCGAGTCACAGATGAATGGAAATCTCTGGCCTCAAGGAGCTCATAGTCTCATGAGTTAAGATAATAGACACAGGAATTTTAAAAGGTGACCATTTTATCCATGTGTTTCCCAATCCACTTTTCCTGCCTGTCTATTATTACTGTATAGGATGTACCCAGCACTCCAGCTGTACTGTTTTTCTTCTGCGATTGTGCTTGGCTCACACAGTCCTCCCTGCCTTACCTTTAGCCTGTTGAAATCCTGGCTACCCCGCAGGCCCAACTCCAATACTGCTCTCAGCGTGAATTCTCTGCTACTCCTTTAAATTGTACTTTTCATTTCACACTCTTTCTTCCATTTAGCTATTGGTGTGTTTCTTTCTTATTTTTTTTCTATTAGATTTCAAACTTCTTAAGGGCTGAAACATGTTTATTTTACTTGGACTCCATCATGACACATAACAGTTTGTATCTCAGGCAACTTCGAAGTTCCTTAGAACTATACATGTCCCGTATGGGCCAGCCGCATCTCATTCATTCATTCATTCATTCATTCATTCATTCTCCATTTCTACCTTAGCCAGCACAGTTCATCTTTTTCTTCTTCTAATTCTGAAGATGATGAGATCCAGACAAAGTTGCCTTTGGTATGAATGAGGGGAAACTTGCAGTAATTTATATATGGTAACAATGGAGAAAATCCAAGAGTGCTTAAGCTAAGCCTTATAGTAGATGAGCTAAAAAAAACCCCAAAAAAGTTCTGTCAAAAATCATGATTGAGCACCTACTATGTGATTAGTTCTGGGCATATAGAGGTGAGATGAACTGATGTGATCTCTGCCTTCATAAAGCAGAGTCTGAGGTGGGAGCCTGACAATGGAAAAATAAAGACTCCAGAAATATGCATTGACAAATTAACTCCATGAATATGAAGAGCAAAGAAATGTCGTGGAGGAGACTTCCGATAGAGGGAATATGTTTTGCAAAGGTGCTAAGGGGCTACACCCTGTGGAGGAGGTGAGAATTTGATGCACTGAGGTCCCTGGAAGAAGACCCTGTGAGTCTGGGGGACAGAAGTCAAACAGAAAGCTAGGCAGGGCCCGATTCTGAGAGGGCCATGTTGGCCACCTTAAGGCATCTTAATTTCGTTGTGGATGCGTTGAGAATTATAAAGACTTTTACTCAGGGGAGTGGCCTGATCACCTGTATGTTTTCAGTAGATCATGGAGGCTGGAGAATGAACACATTGGATCAGAGGGCCAGGGCAGGAGTGGGAGGATACTGTGAAGCCTGTTGGGTAAAGGCACCGGGGCTCAGGTACTAGAGTAGGAGGAGTGGAGATGGACAGACGTCAGCACATGGGAAACAGACCTTGAAAGTGATGTCTGTGATACATTGGACAAGGGTGGAGGAAGACAGAAATACCAAAGATAAATTCCGGGGTTTGGGTCTTTGGAAACTGTGGGTAGAGTGTCACTGAGTGACACCAGCACAGCTGGAGGAGGCTCTGTTTGGGATGGAAAGAGAGTTGGAGCATGTTGAATGAGAGATGCCTGTCAGTCACATAGTGGACCCATCGTGAAGGTAGCTGGAATTTTGAGTGGAGATCAGAGGAGAGATCTGAACTGAATATGGGAGTCATGGCATAGAGATTTTATGTCTCTATATCTATCTATCTATCTATCTATCTATCTATCTATCTATCTATCTATCTATCTATCTATCATCTATCATCTATCTATCTATATACCTATCTATCATCAATCATGTTCTAGTGCTACATAGGGATTACATCATTAAGTGGTCATAAAATCTTATGTGCGTCTTTACAATGTGTTAACCAAAGCACAGAGAAGTTAGTTCACTCGCCCAAAGTAATGCAGTCATTGTGCAGCAGATCTGGAAGCTGGACCCAGCAAGCCTGACTGGCGGGGCCCTTTTTCCAAACACTACATGACAGAGGTCAGAAAGTGTCCCCACACTGGTGGTCAGGGTGGCATGATGATGAAGGATGCGTATTGCTGTGGGATGACGTGGAGTGTGAAGGGAGGGCTCGGCCAAGCTGCCATGTGGCCGCAACTCTTGAACAGCTGGGCTGGGGGCTGCAGCCACAGAGGGGATGAGTTTTAAGGAGACTTTTTGTTAAATTGACATTGTGTAAGTTTAAGGTGTGCAATGTGTTGATTTGATACATTTATATATTGCAATATGGTTACCACTGTTAGCTAACACTTCTATCATGCCACAGACAGGTCATTTCTTTTTTTTTGTGGTGAGAACGAGATTTTTTAAACAAAAGAAATGCTGGAACGTTTCTGTATACTGGCAGGAATGAAACAGTAGATGGGAGGACTGAAGATGCTGTTTCTCAAAGCAGTGAGTCCTAGCCATGGAGTCTGAAAAGTTGAAAGGGGATGGAATGCTAAGCAAATGTGGAGACTGACTATTGTTAAGAGCAGGGACACTGTATGTGCTGTAACGGAATAGAAGAAGAGGTGTTTTATAGACTTAGTGATTCCATGACTTGGTTTTATTATTTAAGGAAGAATGGCAAAACATGGTAGGAGGGGCAAAAGCAGCCAGTAAGATTGGAGATTGGAGCTGAGTGAAGGGTGGAAGGGTGGGCTTTCAGGAGTGACCCCGGAAGAGGGTGTGATGAGGTTTGGTGAACATGAATTTATGAATTTCTCCAGTCTAGGTTATTATCCCTCTGTGAATATCAGTAACTATAAATGACACTGTTTAATGAAATAAGGTTACTGTCTTGAAGTTTTTTTTGTTTTTAAAGATTTTATTGGGGAGTTGGGGAGGGGAACAGCATTGGGGAATCAGGGGAAGGGAAACAGACAAGTTCTGTTCTTTTGTTCTTCAGTCTAGTTGTGGAGGACGTTGCTTCACTGGCGCATGTTGGTGTTATCATTGTGCTCTTCCTGGGTGAGGCACTGGACGGCTGCTCACGGCAGCTCTTGGCAGCTCATGTCAGCTGCTGGCTGCTCATGGTAGCTCATGGGAGCCCACTGCAGTTTCACTGCAGCCTACACTGTCGCCTGTGACTCAGGGCAGCCCAGCTCCAGGTCGAGTTGTTGTTCACCATCTTAGCTGTAGAGGGCGCAGCATCACTAGCCCACATGTGGGATCCGAACCGGGGCCCTGTTGCTCACAGCTGGTGTCCCAAGGCAATTCTTAACCAATGCGCCACTCGGCCGGCCCTGTTGCCTTGAAGTTTTGATCCATATTTGATCCTAGACCAGAGTTTTCTCTCCCTGAATATCTAAATAACCATCAGTGTTTCATCTCTCTTTTAGACACACACACACACACACACACACACACACACACACACACACACACACAGAATGAGAGTTAATGAGATTATGTATATTTCAGATACTTTATATTCATTATTTGATAGAAAGATATGTGTAATTTTCAGTCTTAAATCGGTTACAATTTAGGTATTTTAAAAAGGAGGATGGATTTGTGTCCTTGTCTTGGAGTCTGAGATTACTGAAAGGGGGTCATTTTTCCAAAAATTCCTAAGAATGGTGTAGGAATTCTTTCAAAGGCAACTCCAATTCTGACTTCAACCTTTTATGAATACATTTTTGATCCTTTTATCTTGAAATATGTTGTACAAATCTAGTTATAGTTCTACATAAAAATTATATTGGGAAATCAGACTTATGGATGTGTGCTTTTTATTTGATATTTAATAATGCCCTAAGGCAGTAATTCAAATTTTTATTAAAGTGAAATGATTTGACAGTCAGACTTTGAATTTAATGCATGAATGTTTCATTTAAGCTCTTGGAACTGAAAAGAAAAAAAAAACTTTTTTCCTGGTAGTTCTCTAAAAAATGTTTAAAATAATTTAGATTTATTTTAGCTATGTTTTACTAAAATAACTTTAGTTTTTGGGCTTAAAATGACATTTTTTTTTACATGACATGTCTAGACATCTGGAGAACTTTGATAACCAAGACTTATTATTCCCATGAATAATCTGTGACTTTTTATATTACCATTTAGAAGTATGAACTCCGATTTTGTACTTCTATAGAGAATTAGCATATAACTCACCCAGGTGCAGAGCTAGTTCATATTTCTGGGAGCCAACTGACATTAAATGTTCCTTTACCCATTAAATTTTCTGTGTGATGTGGGAGAACCAAGTCTTAATAGCAAC